AAAACAATTTAAACAATTTTCAAAACAATTCAAACAATTTTCCAAACAATTAAAACAATTTTCAAAACATTTAAAACAAATTTCAAAACAATTTAAACAATTTCCAGAACAATTTAAACCATTTCCAAAATAATTAAAACAATTTTCAAAACAACTTAAAAATATTTTGACCATTTTTATTCACGTGTCCAGTACAATGAGTCTTGCGAATATTCAATTTATAAGTATACATTATGTATATTCCACACCATATTATCCATATTTATATATTAATTATTATTATATAAATTTAATATAATTAAATATATAACTACAAACATATAATCGTATCTATACAAATCCAAAAGCCTTTCACGCGCTAATTAGAAAAAAATAAATAATAATAAAAAAATAAATTAATTATATTAAATAATTAATTTTATTTAAACAAAATATTTATTTATATTTTATATTTATTTAGTTACTACATATATTATTAATAAATAATAATTAATATATATATATATATTATTTTTAAATTCAAAAAAAATATATATCGAAATAATTTAAATATATTTATAATTTACAATCGAAAACTAAAACCTACAGGAAATGTTAATGCACATCTATATAGAATGTATGTCGTTATTACACCCAATTGGGAAAATCAGTGCGTCGTCTGCTAAAAAAAACGCGATGGGGCGCTGCGCATTCAGGAAGTCACAGAAGTCAGTGCAAAATTGTGCAAATCAGCATAGGACGCTGTGTGCCATCAATAATTTTTTTCGATTAAATATTCGGTGTTTTTTATGGTTCTAAAATAAAAAAACATAATGTGTTTTGCGATTTTTCCAGTCCATCTGTCTAAACTACTGCGCCTACCACGAAAAAAAGTGATGCCAGGTCATACGACATGCTGCATCTTCTCAGGAAATCAGCGCCCGCACCTCCTAACAGCTCTGATGAACATGTCTCTTGTACTGTGCATGCCACGGAAAATGCATCTTTCCAGATCTTCATCAAATGTCCCACGCCTGCCATCGTTTTTTGAAATGCTACAAACCCCTCACGTTTTGCTCACTTTTGACAAGGTCCACAGTCCCTTGCGCCTGCCACGCGAAACAACATCTGAACCTCCAAGAATGGTCCGAACCCCTGGTGTTTTCAACATTTGGGCTTAGAAATGTGCTTCGCGCCACAACGGCGTGCACTTTTTAGACAGCGCAACTTCGAAAAGTGATCCGAGGCTGAGGTGTTTTGTACATTTTGACTTCGAAATGTGCTTCGCGCCACAACGGCGTGCACTTTTTAGACATCTCAACTTCCAAAAGTGGTCCGATCATGGTGTGTTTTGTGCATTTTGACTTGGAAATGTGCTTCGCGCCACAGCGGCGTACACTTTTTCGACATCTCAGCTTCCAAAAGTGCTCCGAACGTTGTGTTTTTAGCTTTTTTACTTGGAAATGTGCTTCGCGCCACAACGGCGTGCAATTTTTCATCTCTCATCTGGCCAGCTGGCTCCGCACCCGCCGCTTTAGCGAGCCTACTTTTCGACCCTCCGGAGCCACAAATCATTGGAAAAACACAGTGTTTCGCGACTTTCCTACCTTTTCGCGCACCTGGATCTGCTTTCTTCTGAGACTTTCTCTTTCTTCTTCTCTTCTCTTCTCTTCTCTTCTCTTCTCTGACTCTTCCCATCTCTGCTTTTCATGTGCACATTTTGTCGGAAGTTTGACTTCTAAACTTCCTTCGACAATATATTGAAATACTTCCTTCGACAATATATTTCAATATTTGTTTTTTTGCTTGATATTGGGTCAGGATTCAGAGCAATCAGGCACATTTGATGATCAGTGCTTGCACGCACTGATGGGTCGAGATAGCAGGAATCGTTGCAGTGGCAGTTTCAATCTTCTTGCTGTAGCCTCTTGTTGGGCACATGTTGAAGGTACGAACATGTTAAGGATGTCTTTACAGGGATAATACAACCATCAATACAAAAAACCTGCCAGATATTTTCCCAATATGCACATGGATAGCAGCACTTCTAGAGCAAGATCTTTCTGAGAAGCATTCGGATAAAAAAGTACGTCGCCTTCAAGAAACACGGCAACCTAACAGGGTTTTCAAATGAGGCCCCAAAGCACAACCACCAATCAAAATGGTAGCTGCAAAAAAACAAGCATCTGGCCCGTCTGGCCTTGATTTCCAATACATGGAAATATATAATCAACTATAAACCATTCGAACCCTACGTAACAATGAATGAAATTAAATACAGACCGAAACTGCCAAACAGTGTGCGCCCTGTCACCACCATGGTAAGTGTCTTGGCAACTGAAATCAGCACCAATTAGGCCAAGCCACAGACCATCTTTTGTGGGCTTGTGCCGTACATCCAGTTTAGCAAGTTCCCTTCGCTCTTGAATCCAACGTTTGGAAGTGACGTGGGGTATCCACCTCGTGGAAGCACAGCATGTGTGGGCGGTGGGACGTTTAGCAACCATCGCCAAAGCAAAATCTAGTGTCCCCAGACTTCTCACTTCTGTTGAGCCACTTGGGGGCCAAAATCTACTCTCCCTCTCTCTCTCTACATACATACAACACACATATAAATATGATTATATATGTATGTTGTATAATGTTGTAAATGTGTAAATGACATAACATATTATTATAGTCATTGCGCTTACACGCAAGAATGGAACCCCTACTTCTACAGCCAGGCAATCCTTCTGGCAGCAAAATCAGGTGGCAATTTCACAGCTGGTACAAATGAAGGAGTATATACAGTATAACCAATGTCCTGTCTTGATATTTTGCTATCTATTTGTGTTGTCCGCCATGTCCGGCTTGCTTGTATGGTCAACCAGTTTACCTTCTCCATGTCTTTCTCCGAGGATTCTGTGGGTTGAGGCTTTACAAATACACTCAGGTCCATATGCACCAAATTGTGGGTGCTGTAGGGCAAGTTGCGCATTCTGCCACTGAAGATCTTCTAGAGATGAAAACATCTTCAAGCATCTACTTGTTCGTGGAAGCCAAACGCTACCAATATCAATCAAGAGATGCTAAATAGAAAACATTGTGAGTTTCCCCGGTTGCGTTGCAGGTCTTGGAAGCGTGCACTAGGCATCAGCACCACCACTATGATAACAACCACAACAGCAACAGCAGCAACAGATAGCAACAGTATCGACAGCAGCAACAGCAACAATATCAACGACAGTAACAAAAGCAACAGCACCAACAATAACAGCAACAACAGTAGCAACAACAACAACAACATCAACAACAACACCAACAACACCAACAACAGCAGCAGCAGCAACAACAACAACAACAACACAACCAGAACGAGAACGGAAACAAGAACGGGGCGAGCAACGAGAACAACCATAACCAGAACAAGGAGAACAAGGAAAATAAGAAACACGCCCACAAGGACATCGACAACAAGACTAGCTGTGGCACTGGCAGTGGGAACCACACTGGCAGAGCAACAACAGCAGGTTCCAAGCCTTGGCTGCTTGGTAGATGTTTATAAGATTGCAATAAAGCCACAACTTGAACATAGTTCTCATTCGTAAGCTTCAGCCCAAAGCAATCCAACTCCAACACTAAAACGTGCCCGTGGAAAGTTTGCTATTATATAGGGCCACACATTCTGCTTCAAGCATCAGAACTGGAATAGCCTTACATGTGGCTCTCTCTCTCTCTCTCTCCTCTCTCTCCTCTCTCTCCTCTCTCTCTCTCTCTCTCTCTCTCTCTCTCTCTTGCGCTGCTGCTTCTTCCCCATCTCCTTCCCCTGGTGGTTGATCTAAATTCTTTCCCTATACTTCGCGAGATAAATCCTTTTCGATGCCTTGTCTTGTCAAGACTCCGTCACTACCTGTCAGATTATCATAGATTACGGTATGATAGCCCTGTGCATATGCAGCTAGCATCACAGAACCCCTTCTTGCGACAGAACACGACAGATTGTTGCTTATTGGCTATTGGCTGTTTATGTGATTCTATTTGTACCCCCCTATTTCCTGCAACGTGAAATTGACCCTAGTCAGGTGATGCTGATTCATGATAGTGATATGGGCCACGGATTGCCACCGTCCAAATTTATCCATATTTAATATAGCTCCAAGTCATCAAAATTTGAAGAGTGTATTATCGTTTTTCAGGTTTTGGGAAGCCATGTTCATATTCCCTGTATATTCCATTGTATTCTGATGGTTTTCCGGCAAGGGATGAGATATTTCCTGACACCTTCAAATGCAGCACAATCAAGCGAAATTCTCGGACATTCATTTTCTTCGTGGAACTGTCGCCATCACTAGCACAACCGCCACTATCACATCACAACCACCACTGTCACCACCACCGCTATCACAACCACCACTATCACAACCACCACAACTGACGAAAGCTTCATTTTCACATCTTCCACTTAAATTTTTGAGGGAAGTCTCGCAGGAAAGCTTTGTTTTCACATCGTCCACTTTCAGTTCCAACAAGTCATTCAGGGAAACATCTGAGCCCTGCCATGTCTTGCGCTTGCTGCTCACCTTGGACGAGCAGCGTGCGCCAAGAAAAACAGTTTTTCAGCGAGCAATGGGCCAGCGTCTGACCGATAGGGATTGTGTGATTTTTTTGTTATCGGTTCGTTATCGTTCGGGTTATCGTTTGGGACTGGTTGTATCAAAAAATCTGCAAAACAATGATTCTGGGAAACCCTTCTTTTGAAAATTCTTACTGCATCTTAATGCTGTCTTCAACAAAGCTTGAGGCTGCCGCGGAAAACGAAAAGCACAAACTCCAAAAGGAAAAGAGGAGAGCGGAATCTAGAGCACCCACACTGTTCCTGCCGCAAGGCCCGTTCTCACTAGCAAGAGTTGAGGCAAAAGACTGATATGTGGCCGTACAGTACTTGAAATTTACTCAGCATGCAGCGCAAACAGAAGCATAAACAGACCATCACCACACAGCAATGCACATCACCAGGTACCACCTGTTCAAAACAGGATTTGCCGTTTGCCTATCTCTCAAACAGATGGTGAATGCTATTGAATGCCTACATAAAGGCATCGAATAACTTACACCGTAAGACAAAGGATGACTGATGACCAAGATCAACATAAGCAAATGTTATCGTTTTTTGAAGAGTGTATTATCGTTTTCCATGCTCCAGCTCGATTTCAAAAAAAAAAGATGCCTCGAATACTACTCACCATTACGGTAAATTTTGGCTGTAGCTCATATAACTTTCCCGAAATGAACCTTGACTTTCGCGACCTCAGAAGAAAACACTTTCATAAGGGTTCGAAACATGATATCAACGGTCATCGCAATCATAACTCCTTGGGCCGAGGAACAATCGCGGCCTCGTCCAGGCTCTGAGCCTCGGTTGCTGATATCCGGGAGGACCCTGGACAAAATCAATACACAAAAAAGGATCAGAATTAAAGGACCGGATAACCCCACAAGTCAACTTCTTCCAAGAATGAGCAACAAATGTTGTAGCGGGACGGGGAAGGAAGGAAAGACCAAGGAGGTGGTGGAGGATCGAGAAGTAAAAAAAAGTTGTGTGTTACAAAGTTGTATGTGAAAGATGGTGTGTGACAAAGAAAGATGGTGTGTGTGTGTGAAAGTTGTGTGTGAAAGAGCGCGTGTGGCAAAGTTGTGTGTGAAAGATGGTGTGTGACAAAGTGCTGTGTGAAAGATGGTGTGGCGAAAGATGGTGTGTGACAAAGTTGTGTGTGAAAGATGGTGTGGTGAAAGATGGTGTGTGACAAAGTTGTGTGTGAAAGATGATGTGGTGAAAGATGGTGTGTGACAAAGTTGTGTGTGAAAGATGGTGTGTGAAAGATGGTGTGTGACAAAGAGATGTGTGAAAGATGGTGTGCGACAAAGTGGTGTGAAAGATGGTGTGTCAAAGATGGTGGGTGACAAAGTGGTGTGTGAAAGGTGGTGTGTGAAAGATGGTGTGTGACAAAGTTGTGTGTGTGTGAAAGATGGTGTGGTGAAAGATGGTGTGTGACAAAGTGGTGTTTGAAAGATGGTGTCAAAGATGGTGTGTGACAAAGTTGTGTGTGAAAGATTGTCTGTCAAAGATAGTGTGTGAAAGATGGTGTGTGACAAAGTGGTGTGTGACAGATTGTGCGTGACAAAGATGGTGTGTGACAAAGTGGTGTGTGAAAGATGGTGTGTGAAAGATGGTGTGTGACAAAGGCGTGTGTGAAAGATGGTGTATGACAAAGATGGTGTGTGACAAAGTGGTGTGTGAAAGGTGGTGTGTGAAAGATGGTGTGTGACAAAGATTGTGAAAGATGGTGTGGTGAAAGGTGGTGTGTGACAAAGTGGTGTGTGAAAGATGGTGTGTGACAAAGTTGTGTGTGTGTGAAAGATGGTGTGTGAAAGATGGTGTGTGCCAAAGTGGTGTGTGAAAGATGGTGTGTGACAAAGTGGTGTGTCAAAGATGGTGTCTGTGACAAAGTTGTTTGTGACAGATGGTGTGTCAAAGATGGTGTGTGACAAAGTTGTGTGTGAAAGATGGTGTGTGACAAACATGTCAAAGATGGTGTATGACAAAGATGGTGTGTGAAAGATGGTGTGTGAAAGATGGTGTGTGACATATGTGAAAGATGGTGTGTGAAAGATGGTGTGTCAAAAATGGTGTGTGAAAGATGGTGTGTGACAAAGTGGTGTGTGAAAGATGGTGTATCACAAAGATGGCGTGTGACAAAGTTGTGTGACAAAGATTGTGAAAGATGGTGTGGTGAAAGATGGTGTGTGACAAAGTGGTGTGTGAAAGATGGTGTGTGACAAAGTTGTGTGTGAAAGATGGTGTGGTGAAAGATGGTGTGTGACAAAGTGGTGTGTGAAAGATGGTGTGTGACAAAGTGGTGTGTGACAAAGTGGTGTGTGACAAAGTGGTGTGTGAAAGATTGTGTGTGAAAGCGGGCGAGGCGCGGGCGAGGCGGAGGAGGAGGCGGGATACAGAATCAAAAACAAGAACCCCACACAAAGATGTGGGGAATTGATATAATGGATTATATAATCTAATATAATTTAATATGATCAAATAGTAAAGACATAGCAAAGACTAGCAAAGACATGCAAAGACTGCAGAAAACCTGCGCTCACAGCCAAGGGACAGAGAATGACAGTGGCATCTTGGACTCCATTCAATGTGAGCGTAACGCCATTCCAGTGTGACTTCACATATGACAATCGGTAAAAAGTTGCACCTTGAAGCAAGCCACCACCAGACCAGCCAAGACCGTAGTTTCTGTCACCTCAAGCTTTCAAGTTGTTTGCCATCAGCTCACGTGTCCCAGTGAAAAACTTGCTCGGCGAGACAGTGGCAATATCCGATTTGCAAGAAGTTGGAATGCACTTCGGCCCGGGAGATGTGCACTGAGCACCATTGAAGGCACACTGGATGGAGTACTTGCCCATTGTGGCATAAGACTCTGAGCATGTCTTCGCCTTAGTGTCTAAAAATCCACAAACACACAGGAGCTACCTCCCTTGCCCCTTTGCAAGGCTGCTTCTTGATGAAACAGAACACATGTGTTTTCTGTACCCTTGAAAGATCTTTTGAGATAAATCTATGCTGCATCTTCCGTCCTTGCCGATGAATATCAAATCGATTTAAGTTGGAACGCTTAAACACATTAGGTTTTCAATCTTTGTTTTTGCAGAAAAGGTCTTTAAGATGTTAGACATATATAACGTGACCTTTGTGGAGTGGAAACTGTACTTAGAAGACATGCATTATTGGTCTGCTGCTACTGAAGCTGCAGGAACTCTGGACTACGCGGGGAAGTGTCTTGTTGGCCATCAGGCAGGTGCTTTAATAACAACCTACTCAAGAAATCAAACTATGACTTGAACATAGAAGTTTAAAGTCTCATTCAGATTTGACCCTTGAGATGACACCCCTGAAAAAACTACCTTGACGTGTCTGATCCGGATCCAACTTCATCAAAACTCTCTTCAAAACAGCATCTCATCCCAGAACTCCCGCATAGCAACAGCTCTTAGACTTTGGTAAATTAGAGTTCATGGATGGATGGTCCCTCCCAGTAGATCATAGTCATGACCGCAAACCATACAGCCATATACAGCCTTTCTGTGTCTTTCTTACTTTACCAAAATCTGGCCGACTAGCCCAATGACTGTGCCGTGATTGATTGTGCCCGGTGCTAGTAATGCTAGTGATGTCTGGCGTGTGGTCTCACAATGCAATGCACTGTACGAGTAACACACTTTCGAGCAAAGTTTCAAGGGGCTGATTTCCCACAGTTCATTGTTTTTCGACAAACCACATTGCTTCACTTTCAAAACGTAGACAAGGCACATCCTTGATCTGTGAACATGACTCAGCGCTGTTAGGAACTTTTGTGCCTTTGCAATCGCCGGCCATTCGGACACTTTCAGCCTCAGAAGCAAAGCCCAGCTAAGTAGCTTGTCTTCCAAGCTGACACCAATAATTCCAATAACATGATTGAAAATGATACTAGAACAATTTCAGAATTTCATGGATTTTCAGGGGAGAAAAAAAACTTACCTCATGATGGCTGACGCTGTGAATCAGGGCAAGGAGAAGCGCAATCCTGGCGGTAGAGACTTTGATGTGTTCCAGTTGCAGGCAAGCTTTCACAAACGGATCTTTTCAATGTGTAGATTAAATAAAAATATAAAAGATAAATATAGATAAATCATGATAAATCATGATAAAAGTATCGCTGTTTGGATCACTACAGTATATACATTACTATGGCTGCTTCCTGAAACTTATGGTCGACCTCCCCCAGAAAACCTTGAAGCCGCCCTGTTGGGTTCCAATCTGGCCCTGGAAAACTGGAACGAATACTGGTACGGGACGCAAACCTGCATCAATTTGACCTGACTCCACGCATTGCCAATATTTTGCCAATCAAATTGTAGACCAAGCCACACCAACAGTTCATAAATATGTTTAAAAAATGTCAAATAGGACAGGACTTGCAAATTGCATCACATTGGAATGAGAAGTGTGCAAAGCATTTAGACATCCCGGAGGCCTTCCCATCATTGGACGGCCCATGACCATCAACTTCGTTGAAACTAAGCGCAAATCAAAGAAATCAAAGTCTTGAGCTGCGGCTGCAAGTCGCTTCAAAACATCTAGTGGCACTGGACACACACACACCATCCCCAAAAATCCCAAAAAATGAAGTCCAACCATCCCAGTGGTGGCCACGCAACAAGACCCGAGTAATGTTGGCTGCCTAATAGTAATTACCCCCCCCATTTTTTTTTTTAAAGGGGGGGGGTCAACCTTCCTATAATAATTTCAATTTTTGGGAATCTATAGCTGGGATCATGATATGTATCTGATAGATTCTCCATGGTTTTGTTGGGTTTCTGTTAGATTTTGCATTGGGAACCTTATAGCTGGGATCATGGAAGTGGGGGCAGAGGTGGTGGAGGCGAAGGAGGAGGAGGAGGAGGAGAAGGAGAAGAAGGAGAAGGAGAAGGAGAAGGAGAAGGAGGACAACAAAATTGGAGTTGCGGAAAAAAGTTTCCACTATTGCCATGCCTGGTGCAGGTTTGTTATTGCTATTCTGGGGCTTGCAAAGGGGGTACCCTTTGTGGACCTGTTTTCTTGCTTTTTTGAATAAGGGTTTTATAAGGAAATCAGCTGTTTAGTAATTGGATCAGATTTCTGGAATCTAAGCTTTTGCTAATCAAAAGTGAAGCCTGCTTTGAAAAGGATTTGCTTTACTTGACTCTTTTGGCAATACTAGAAGTAAATGGAGCTAATTGACTTTTAGTATTGGAGAAAAAATTGGAGTTGGGAAAAGAGTTTCCACTATTGCCATGTTGGGTCCACTATTGGCCATGCCCTCTGGACAAGGTCTGAACATGACTCTTTTGGCAATACTAAAAGTAAATGGAGCTAGTTGACTTTTAGTATTGGAGATAAAAGTGGAGTTGCGGACAAATGTTTCTACTATTGACAAGATATCACTATTGGTCAGACAACATTAATTAGTTATAGAATGCTCTGCCTACTTCAGATCCCAATGTTTTTGAATTTTGAAACTAGATATTATTATAACATATTACAACAGATATTCTGCAGAAGCTGGCACCAACTACCAGTATGCAGAGAATCTCAATTCATTGTTTGGCCTAAACATGTCTCAACATGTCTCAACTATATTATGTAAGAGTTGCTTCAGTTCTGTATCATTCCCGGCTTCAAACGCTGCTTGTGCCGCATCTCTCTTTTGTCCGCATTTCCAATTGACTTGCGCTCACTTCTTGAAATCATTCTCATCATCTCTCAATTCCAGGATGAAGGAATGATGCCCCAGCCCAAGATGAGCGTGGTGCCATTCACGCGCAGCAAGTTGGTCTGCCTGGTAGATCCCAAATGGAAAAACACACCTGCTCAAACTTTCTCCCTTGGTGTTTCGGTTTCATCCTGGTAAAGGAAGCAAGGATCAAAACTACAAGTAGCTGCCTGTAAGAACCACATCACCAAATCCCAATATATCATCAAACTTCAATAAGCCATGGCACCTTCACTTTTCGGCATGAATGACCTGCCAAGCTGGCAATCACACTTGTTTCTCTCATTTCCCCAAGTGTCAAGTGCTGCATGAAAACTATATATGTGATATTACTCCTGCAACGGTTTTGAGAAGGGTTTAAGAACAGTCCTCCTCAGTTCACCATAACAATCAGCCGTGTATTCATGACTGTTTTGGACTGTTTTGTGTAATGACAAATCAACGCCTCCCGCACATCCTTCAAAAGAGTGGTAATGGTGGTGCCATCATCTTGAGGCAAAGCCTCGCGGCGGGCAATGCCTTTGCGAGTGCCTCTAATGTCCTGTCCTCTGCTCGAATAAACTTTGGGACTTGGGGAAAAAACAGGGTCAATCAATCACCAGGACTGATCTGTTCAAGACTGGAACTGTTTACAGAAAGGCCGGCAGCTTTGCTCGCCAATGGAAATTATAATCACCAATGCATCTATTCGAGCCTGTCAGAAAATTAAACGATTTGTGAAGCAAGGATAAAGAATGTATATAGATTGAATATGAACTATATATGTAAAAGTATCAGTATATATATATATCTATATGCTATGCAGGCACAAACGCACCACAGAAACACCAGGGCACACACGCAGCTAACACACTTGTAAGACAGAATGTCTGTTCACGAGGCTCATATTGATTTGTGATTTTTTGCTCGTGAAAAGGCCGTTGTACTCAAACATGTTTTAAACAATGACAAATTGAGTACGGTCGCCGCTGTGAATGAATCACAGAATTCAGAAATCGAAATGGTCTCATGGCAGGTACGTCTGACTGATCAGGTCAAATATCACCAGCACTCATCCAGTGTCTTCGTTGGTGCAAGACTGAATGGGCTGCTTGCACCCCCTGCCTTAAAACTGAAAAACTGAAATACTGAAAAACTAAAAAATCGCAAATCCCTTGGAAACAGGGGTTACCCCACACACAAAGGCCCATCGCCACTGGTATTTGTCGGCCACAACGCGCTGTGAATATCTGACGAAGCGAAGCCTTTCTGTACATATAACCGAGATAGTGCGTGCAACGAACTCTGTGCTTGACAGGACGGAAATGAATATTTACGAATTAAATGAGCTCGACTCTTCAGTCCGCTCAAACGCAATCGGAGGGTTCCGGCTGAAACATTGTCCCGAATTTGGCGAATGTCCGGTAACTTGTAAATGACTGTTCTTTCAGATCAACATAAAAGCCGAGAAGTAAAATTGTCGGCAACCAGCTCCAGTTCGACTGGACTACCATAAAAGTCCAAGTAAACACTTTGAACACTGGAGCCTGAAGATGGTGCTTCTGTACAATGACAAAACGGTTGTCGACGTACCTGATTGCAAGATGATGAAAATTTGGTTGGGTCAGAACTTCTTGATAGGTACTGCTCCACGATCTCTCGATAAGCGTCACGGCCAAGTTCGAAAGTGTCGGAGAAATCTGACTTCCTATTGCAGCGCCTCTGATTTGGCGCCATACAACACCAAGTGCTGTGAAAAAGTGAATCCGCTGTACACGTGGGTCGACCCCCTGCCTTAAAACTGAAAAACAGAAATACTGAAAAATTCGCAAATCCCTTGGAAACAGAGGTTGACCCCACACACAAAGGCCTATCGCCGCTAGTATTTGTCGGCCACCCAATAGACTGGCTAAGACAAAAATTGGTCTAATAGCTAGATTTTTAAAATTTGTCTAATAGACAAATTTTGAAAATTTGTCTTAGACAAATTGTTGCTCGACAGATTAGTCTAAGACACGAGTCTTAGACAAATAAACGCTGTCTAAGTCAGATTTTTGCCCACCCTCCACGAGGAAGTTTCGAGGAAACTTCCTGGAAATTTCCTCGTGTGTTTTGTGAAACTGCCTTCAAACTACCTCATGCTTTAAAGGGAAACTTCCTCACTTTTTTGGGGATGTTTGGGGAAACTGCCTCACTATTTCTCTTACTTTTTGCACACCCTCCACAAAATGATGGAAAAATGATAAGGTAGTTTGGAGGCAGTTTTGGAGGCAGTTTTGAGGCAGTTTGAAAAAAATCTGATGTAGTTTCAATTTGTCTAAGACAAAAAAAATTGTCTAAGACAAATATTTTTTGTCTAAGGCAACTTTTTTTCTGTCTAAGACAAATTTTCAAAATTTGTCTTAGACCAAAAAAAGAGTTGTCTTAGACAAAAAAATCTACCTAATAGTCAGATTTCTACAGAATAGGGATTAGACAAATTTTTGTCTTAGCCAGTCTATTGGGCACAACGCACTGTGAATATCTGACAAAGCGAAGCCTTTCTGTACATATAACCGAGATAGTGCGTGCAACGAACTCTGTGCTTGACAGGACGGAAATGAATATTTACGAATTAAATGAGCTCGACTCTTCAGTCCGCTCAAACGCAGTCGGAGGGTTCCGGCTGAAACATTGTCCCGAATTTGGCGAATGTCTGGTAACTTGTAAATGACTGTTCTTTCAGATCAACATAAAAGCCGAGAAGTAAATTGTCGGCAACCAGCTCCAGTTCGACTGGACTACCATAAAAGTCCAAGTAAACACTTTGAACACTGGAGCCTGAAGATGGTGCTTCTGTACAATGACAAAACGGTTGTCGACGTACCTGATTGCAAGATGATGAAAATTTGGTTGGGTCAGAACTTCTTGATATGTACTGCTCCACGATCTCTCGATAAGCGCCACGGCCAAGTTCGAAAGTGTCGGAGAAATCTGACTTCCTATTGCAGCGCCTCTGATTTGGCGCCATACAACACCAAGTGCTGTGAAAAAGTGAGTCCGCTGTACACGTGGCTCGACCTCCACTTTTGTGATTCCAAATGAGGAGAAGGAAAACAACACAACGCAAAAACGTGGAGCAGACTCAACGCCCACATCTCAACTGACTTCTGGATTGTGGGAACATGATGTATACAATACTTCAAAAACTGGCGGAGGTGGTTAAAGACTTCAAAAAGTTTCAAAGGTAACCACTCTCGCCATGATATGACTAGTCAAGCTGTCAACGCTGCAGCGATAGCTATCAACTGCTGAAGACCTCGAGGGGGGAACTTCAAACTTTGTTCCATTCGTAATCCATACTGAATAGCCGCCTCTTGCAGCTTTGCCTTAGGCACCGCTGCATCTTGAAACATTTTGGCGAATTTGGTGGCTTCTTGTTGCGTTTCTACGGGAAGCTGCTGAAGCCACTTCTTTCGTGTCGGGTCAGAAGTACCTTTGAGCGGATACTGCTTCAAAATAGGACCGGACGCTTGCATTAATTCCTGGACAGTTAGTTATCGGAGATTTTTCGTCCGAAAACTCAGAGATGTGGTCTTCCTCGACATCGCGAGGTGAGGCCGTTTGTGACGCAAAAACTGTTGCCAGTTTTAGCTGGCCCGAGGCTTGAGGCGGCGTAGCTCTGGCTTTGGCCCGTCGTTTGGGGGTACTGCCGAGAGCTGACGAGTCACGTTTGTGACCGGCGGATCGTGCAGGAGAAGAAACCGAATGAACTGATGTTAATTTTCCAGCTTCAGCCTCTGCTAATTTGGCTTGAGCTTCTTTCAACTGTGCTTCCAAAGATTGAACTCGTCGCAATGCCAAGCCATCTTGACGTACCGGTTAAATTTGTTTTAGCAAAACAACAACAGAAACAACAACAGGAGAAATGAAATCAACCGGAGCTTCTTGCTTTGACGGGACGGGAGCTGTAGGAGCTTTGGTCCGGTGCAAATGTTCTGCAATGGAATCTATATCCAAATTAGCTTCTCGAATTGTTCGGAGAAGTTGACTGACGAAAACACTCTCAGCAACTGAGCGAGTGGAGACTAGACCCACAAATCGTCCGGCACTCAAAGTACGGAGGCTGAATGCTTCAACCCCATACTGCAAAAGTTGATACATGGGTAAATGAAGAGGGTCTTGTCCATGAATCCCTCGCTTTCGGCTCCATGCCGACGGTTGGATAGATCTGTACAACGGATATCCATGCAGTACCGTTTCAACGTAGTGAAGTTCTGTAGGTTTCCAAGATGACGGCAAGCTGACTTCCGAAGACCATGAACGCTGAGGGGACCATTTTTCTCAATCTGACCATGAACGATTGTTCCACTGAGACATGTGAAATCAGCCTTGAATGATTGCACAAGCTGTGCTTGATGTGGCGATAATTTTGGCCTCATGCACGGTCGGTGAATCAGTAACTGAATTAAATAAAATCTGTTGGTGAGTCTGCGTCACTTTTTCAAGCGACAGCCGAAATAAAATGGTTCTGTACGTTGCAGACCCACATTTTTGCACGGTGATGGTGGACTAGACCGCCCCGAAGGGTTTGGTCCACACAAACTCCTTCTCCGCCTTCCTTTACATTGGTCGGTGGTCTTTCTGAATCCTAGACCAAAAAATGATTGGCTATACGAGAAATGTAGCCTTAATGGGCACAACTTCGCCTCGCGAAGTATTTGAATTGCTCCACCTTGGCTAGTAGCATGGGTCATAAGCACATGCACAATTGCATCAAATTGATCAGTTCTCAAAGCTCTTCTTGGTGGTGGTGGTGGACAAGAATGATCAAAACCTGCTTTCTCTTTCAAATATGGTAATGGAAGAACGTAAAAGTAAAACGTTCTTGGTGTATCCTCGGATTTTGTCCAGGACGTGTTCCATTCTAAAATTCGGAGTTGTGTCAAATGAGGGGGTTTGACCCCGCCCTGAAACAAAAGACTAGCAAGGTGTGAAACAAATTCTGGCTTGATGGGATAATTGACGTCCTGATGCTGAGTCAGCCAGTGACGAAGAAATTGTAAATCAAGTGCTTCAGGAAACACACTGAACGGTCGAACTGAACTAGCCGGTGGCTGAGGAAACGCACTGACAGGACGAACTTCACTGGTCTGTGATGGTGTCTGCTGCAGTGGTCTGGAATCACTCCATATCCCAGGTAAAGATTGTCAGTTACCAGGTGGTGGCTCTACATACCGGGAACTTCTCAAAGTCTCTCTAGATCTGGATCTACCGGAACTACGACTGCTGGACGGCCTTTCGCGTCGTGAACGACGACGTCTCGAATTGGGTGCAGGTAGTTGATGAGTATAGTTGTGTCTGGTCGAGCACCTGACTTTGAATTGGTGACTATATGACACTGGGAGACCATGATTGTCCTGCTACATCTTGAACTAGAATTTGAGGTCGTGAAACAACTGGTGGTCGCTGTGGTGCACGTTGTGGACCTGTCGAAGTCCGTCGAGCCACATTGGTGAGAGCCGGACGTTGAGCTCTTATCGTGGCTGGTCTCGGCGCTGGTGCAGCCTGATAATCTCCATGGATGAAGTAGATGTTATACGTCATGGCTGCAGTTAGAATCTTGAAAAGAACGCAGTGGTAGATTAAAACTGATGGAAAATAACCACTGGTGAAACATGAGCAATACCGAAACTCCAGAAAGTGGAAAACTGTAAAACTTGCTTAGCATGTTAATTTCCAAATACCTCTTGTGTCTCTGTCTGACGTCGTGCAACGCTCGTGAACTGTTTCAGAGGAAATTCATCAGAGTGGTATAGCCAAAATGGCCATTCAGATTGGAGCTCTTACGGAGCAATTCAGAAGTTCAGAGGCTCTCAGAGAGCGAATCATAATTTCAGAGGTCCAACAAGGACAATCAGAGTGAGGTCCGAAGACAATCAAGCTAGTATTTCAGGCTGTGTAAATTCAGACTAGAAAAGCATGCAAAAATAACCGATTACGCCGAATTACTCAGAGAGGGGGACAACTAGAAAAATGGAAAATGAGTCCCAATCCAGTTGGGTATGTTTCATATTCACCGAGGTACTTTGGTATGGTGAAAACCATAATATCCTGATTTGCGGTCAGGAAACCGACACGATTCAGAGGGTTCACTTCAGGATCTTACTGATCCGTTTCAGAGGTGGTGACTCAGTTGCCTGGCTCAACCAGGATCACGACAGGGCCATGACGGAATCTCTGCCGGCAACACACTTGTAAGACAGAATGTCTGTTCACGAGGCTCATATTGATTTGTGATTTTTTGCTCGTGAAAAGGCCGTTGTACTCAAACATGTTTTAAACAATGACAAATTGAGTACGGTCGCCGCTGTGAATGAATCACAGAATTCAGAAATCGAAATGGTCTCATGGCAGGTACGTCTGACTGATCAGGTCAGATATCACCAACACTCATCCAGTGTCTTCGTTGGTGCAAGACTGAATGGGCTGCTTGCACCCCCTGCCTTAAAACTGAAAAACTGAAATACTGAAAAATCGCAAATCCCTTGGAAACAGGGGTTGACCCCCCACACACACCACACACACACACACACATGTACTTCAACCAGAAGACAGCATGCCTGGGTCATGACCATCACCAAGATTGGCTGCCCCTTGTTTGGGTCAAACTTAAACCTTGGCGATCCGCGCACAAACAAATCCGACAGCTCAAGCAAAGGTCTTGTACAGCGATGTTCGATACCCCAACTCCGCACATATTCTATATGCATCCTCTTTTCCGCGTTCTGCCCGTAGCAAGCGAGCTGCTAGGACAAATGAACATACTGATTCAAAGATATTCAATTCATTGCCCTCTGAAGAGAACACACCAACATGGGAAGTTTGGGAAAGTCTTCACGTGAATAAGGCTTGCGACACAGATTGGAGAAAACAGGCGGAAAAGCTCGTGATTCAAATTCTGAGTCCTCTCTGGGCACCCCTGCGCACAGCTAGCAGCGCCCCCCCACTGCCGCACACCAGGCACACCATCGAACCTTTGTATACACATTGTATACACATGGGGTCTTGTCTTGTCAGGAGGTTGCTACCATTTGATGGACCCTTGCAAGAAAGTCACAGTGCTGTTGGAACCAAAAAATCCTTGATGATGTTAGTATATGATAGTATACGTTAGTAGCGTTGGTCCATCCACGAAACATTTTCCCGACCGAATCTATTCCAATAAACAGCTTCTATTTGCTAGGATGAATCACACCAATCCACCAAAGCATGGATGCCTCCACATACATCCACATACAACAGTTACATCTATATAGAGTAGGTAGATGTAGGTAGGTCGGTCCAGGTACCTCAGGTCATTTGGGTTCTCACCACAAAGGTATTGCACAACTTGCCCAACTTAGATTCCTGTCAGAAGCATTTGTAAATCGCTGCAAATGCCTCAAACGGAAAGCTTTGAGCCGAACCAGCCACCCCAACTCGGAGCTCCTCGACCTTAATCCGAGGCGTCCAGCTGCCGGTCTGTGTGTTGCCATGTATTATGTCATGGTCATGATTCTGGGTAAATTAGAATATTTCGCTAACTTGAAGTAAGGCTAATATTGGGATAATTCCCCTTACTATCCCTTACTAACCATGATTCCAATGACCTTGCAGAGAGGTCATTATAATATGTTATAATTTACCCACATTTATGCAAGCCTGAGAGTCTCTTTCTCTATACTGAGGATGGGCAGGAGCTAAGTTCAGCAAATCTTTGCTCTGTGCTGACTGCTACACTGTCGGTTGTTTTCTTGTGCAAATTGCAGGGAAACATAATATAAAATAATGACAACAACAATTGTCATCAATTATCTTGGTCTCAGGTGTTTGTTGAGGGCCGAGACCACGCAGTGGCAATAATATGCTATACATGATCAGGAGTCGATTGACACCAACTTCAGCCCCATGGTCATGGTTGTTTGCACTTTAGACCTCCGTTGTGAATGGGAACGATACTCATCTATCAAGGCAAATAGTCAAGGGTACTTGATATGTTTGATATATTTTGAAGTAAGCGAATCAGTACCGCATCATGGCTGCAATTTCATTGCATCATACTTGTACCGGACAAGTCTGGCAAACTCCAACATGATGTGTGCCGAATCTATCCCTCCTGTGATCAAGTGCTTCGCAACTCAAACACAAAGACTGGTCATATGCTTGGTATCGGTATTGTGCTTACATGTTTTTACCCATGGCAAGCCATATGGCAACTGCAACTCTTGTGGCAATCCATGGCAATCCATGGCAATCCACAGCAAAAAGGATAGGGCCGAGGCGTTGCAATTCGCCAATGCCACTGAGACCGAGCCCGGCATCATCATATGGTCGAGCACCTGAATTGACAGAAGTACTGACAGAATAATATGAACCAAAGAAAGATGGATGCTGAGGCGCAAGATATAGAATCTGTAGAAATGTCGAATAGAGAGAGAGATAGACTTCAGTATACTTTAATCATATACAGGTCTGATATGGTCTGACACAGTCAGGTAGACCTGCTGCCACAACAGCATGATGCAGTACATAGGATCTACTTTGTCTTGTGAAGATTATTGCCTTTCTATGCCTTTCTGGCAATGAATTTGTCGGGAGTAGTGCAGAAGGCATCAATGGGCACGAAAATCAGCAGCAGTCTTCGGTGCCGACAAAGGCATCGGGATTGGTATTTACCAGTGAGTGTTGTGCAATAATGCTACTTGTAGCTGATTGTAGCTGCAAAGCAGGGCTGCGCAGCCTTCGTCACTACATGTCACTACAAAACATGTTTGGTCGGCTACATCGCTACAAAACGCTAGCGCCATGCACATCAGCACTAGGGTACTACAAAACCATTCGAGAAGCATTTTTACAGAGCACCTATGTGCAACACTTGCGTAGTCGAAATTCCGTGGGGGATACTAATGCATACAAATTCCGCACTACCTGAGGAGCCCCACTGCTGGGCACACGGCTGCCCAGCAAGCTACTGAGATCCTCAGGACGAATCAAATCAATCTCTCATTTTGCAGGGATACTGGATCATACGGGCATACCCAACGTGCTTGCGAGAAATCGGTTCACCACCCATGACCCAAATCAAAATTAAACAATTTACTTGTCCACAGACATTGTGTAGTTTACAGCTTGTCACTGTACAAGCCAAGCAAAATTGTATCGTTGGCTTTCATACGTCAAAGTGTCTGATTTCAGCTGTGGCTTTTGGCATTTAAGTTGTGATGAAATCAAGGCATATCATATCCCACTTGAGTTTCCCAACGCTCATCATCATTTCTGCGCTCTTCTCGCTGAGAATGCGCACCTTGGACCCCAACCAGATCAACAAGCCCCCAAATTCAAGATGTTTGTCCGAACTTGAATTGCGGTATGATGCAAAATCCAATGCGGCTGCTGCTCAGCAAACACAACTTGTCTTGTCAATATGTGCCACAGTACTCAGTACTTCTCTTTCAGATGTAGAGAAGCGTTGCGAAATGATATGGAATGATCGGAAAAATGTGGAATGTCTGTGAAGGTCTCCTTGTACGAGTAGGACATCCAAATCTGGGGGCTTCGCTCCACCGTGCTGACCCCCAGATGTCACTGCCAACAGGAACTTGGCCTGGCCACAATGTGTCATGTCATGCCAAGCGCGGGAAACTCGTAAATGTCTTATATAGAAAATTCTCATACATTATAAGACCATATAAGACCATAAGACCAATGATACCTGCGAATACACAAAGTATCGGAAAATGATCCACTCAAAAAATCTCAAAAGAGCTAACTTGGACACTACGATAGAAACAGAGCCAAGGCCGCGTAGTCGTCCATGGTGCTGAGCCTTGGTATTCTTGGTAAAGTCTGGCACAAATTGGCTATAATATATTATAATATGCTATAATTGCCTTGGCCTATTTGTGTTTGCTGCGGGATCTGCGGGTGTCTCTTGATGAGACTTCCAGAACTACGTGCAATCCCTGAACTTCTCTGAATAGAAACTCTTCAGCTGCCAGCTTTTGCGGCATGTTCATGCATGTTCAAACCATACTGTGTGTGTGTGTTTTTGCGGGCCCTCCATCAACGCAGTACAGTGCGGAGTGCGATCAAATCTGAGGTTCCAAGCAAGCCACCTTCCAGACTCGAGAGGCCTCATAATAAGCAAATCAACAGCAAATCATAAAGTGTAGTCTTGTGGATATATGGGCTCTGAAACATTCGGAAACCATGTGTGAGCCACGAGTTATTGGGATCAGCTTCGTCAGCTTCGTCAGCTTCGCGGCATGAAGCTGCCATACCAGATTGTTTCCATCAGATTACATTACAATCAAATAGCTAAAACCACTGTCCAACTCATTGTCTGGCTACTATCTTGCCTGCGGCGTAACCAATCATTTCTAATCTGCAGTAGCTGTGTAGCTGAATCAGGATCAATGGAAACATATTGTGTTTTTAGAATCATGTTGGAATCAAGTTGTCATATGAGAATCAAAATAGGATCATATTAGAATCGGTTTTGCAACGATCACAACCGAAAACATGCCGCTCCCATGCACACTCCATCCTAGTCGTCGCCTCCGCCGGCTGAAGGCACTAGGCACTTGGCCCATCGACTCTGGGCACCTGCATGCGCTGATAGACAAATCGTGACAAATCTATTTCTTCAGATTTGTTCTATCTATAGACCTCGATGTAGACCTCTAAGGACTCTAACTATCTCTAACTTATCTGCAGATTGAATCAATTCAGGAAATCCATAGGGACACATGCCACACTTCATGAAATATGATGTGGCTCTATGTAGCTTAGTCATTTCTCAAACCGTGCTTGGAAACCTGTGCATTCTGTCAGGCATTCTCAGGCTGGTTGCTGAGTCAGCTGGCTCCCAGCCTTTTTTAGGATCAACTCGGACTAATCGGAAGCGTCGACCATCGCTACCCCACAAACGCGACTTCGTGTACCTCGTGGCATCAACAAATGCATCTCGAACAAGAAGTTGCCCTTCCATCAATTTTTCGGAAGATTCCAAGATGTTCCAAACATTATCAGAAACAACATCAAGATCCGAGATCCGGAGCTGCTCCAAACCTCTTCGCTTGTTGAGTACCCCTCGTGTTGAATACTTGTAGGATTGGAAAGTGAGCCAATATGACCGTACTTGATTGACTATTTCAACATGGCAGGTATACAAATATGATATGACATGAAAATATATGAACATACATGAAATGACAACATATTGTGGCACATCTTTGCACTCCAGATCTGGACCTTTTGTTGCACAACCGTGCGCTCGATGAGTTCTGAAATGCATCAACCCGGCAGATCCGGGCGGCCTATACAACACGCTGAGTCTCTTGGAGCAGGGAACTTGAAAGCTTGTATCACCTCGGAGCGAGGCCCACCGAAACGCGATCTATGCAGATAATATCTATATATGCCATTCTATACCTATATATACCATTATATAATATTATATATACCATTAGTTACCATTATATACCCATCTAATTTTATTCTAACTTCCATTATATATACCATTAATTATATACCATTATATACCCATCCAATTTCGACTCTGGAACTGGTAAAGTAGCAACACAAATGTGTGCCCATGAGCGCACACATCCATCACAACCAGGTTTCTTTTCTTGTGACAGCGCAGCTGAGTAAGTCATTCCTTTGCGCATAATGCACACTTCATAATCTTCATATTGTCCTGGGGCCTCGGGCACATACCCAGTGGCTTCAAGATGTGATCGTGCAGGTAGCTTTCCAGTTTTTTTCCTGAAGGCAAGTGGATTAAGTGGATTCGCAAGCAATCCAAGTGAAGTTGCCAAACATGGTTTCCTCTTCTCTTGTCAGCTTCCCAGAAGAATGATGGCTTTTCTCTGAAAAGTTTTGGCATGTGCTGACTCCAAGCTACAGGGACCACGGTCGGTCAAAGTTCGACTAGCTGTTTTTGAAATGTCTTGAACAGGTCAATTGACCTTTTGAACATTTTTGAACCTTGAATTCGAACGAACGACTTCGGACTTCGGCTGTATTCTGCTCCTGATTTCACCTCGATGAGGTGTCCAAGAATGTCGTAGCCTCAACATAAACAGCTGGCTTCTAGGGATGTGCAATGGAGTGCAGTGACAGTGGATCTAAGACTTTCAGTGTCTGCGTAGTATCCGCAGTGTCGCGCAATGTCGTTCACGGCAAAACAATGCATACAACATTACACAACACGGCATACACTTAGTTACTCTGGCAAAAATGGGTTGGTCCAAAGTTGTATTTGGAAATATGTTGAAACCTTACCTCACATGTGTATTTTGAAATTTCAGAGTTGTATGTATTTGAAACGGGGATTTTGAAACTCAGAGATACTCAGAGACTCAGAGGTTGAGCTTTGGAGCTTGAGAGTTGTACTGTCAAAGTGATACTAGAATATATACTAGATATACTAGTATTGTGGAACTGTGAAGATGGTATTTCGAAACTGCTCAGCGTAGCATCCGTACAAGTAGCGTGCTTGACGTTGCAAATTTGCTTCCACGATTGCCCTTTCCCAATTTGGTGGGCTATTCACATTTTAAGACCCTCGTCACTATACATCAACTGGTACCTGCTAGCAGGATTGGCGTTAGTCCTCCTCTCAGATCCAAACTATAGCCATAGCTGTAGTGAGTTCCTGCACAGGCCCCAATGAGAAGGGGAAAAAACACGATTGAAGGAGACCACGGTGGAGTATCAGTGACCTAGTCAAGCAAGACAGTCCATGTGCATCATGGATTATAGCTGTGTGTGTGAGGTACAAGTGAAAACATCGGTGCCATAGGAATTCCAAGACCGGTTCAGGCCCCATCTGCTATTGACAAGATAATTAGCATTTTCCAAGACGAAAAGCGAACGATCTGGAATCTGCTTCAGCTGGAGTACTACCGGATACTACCGTGATGTACTACCAGCAATTTTCCAAATCCAGAAACTCTGTGCACTAAACAGCATTGTGTGATTCAAGTTCAACTATAAAGAACTTTGAGCAATTTGAGCTTCTGGTTGGCAGTCTGTGAAAGAAAACAAACCTTTTTGTTGCCAGTCTCTCAATGCTTTTCCGGTGCAACTGAAATCTGGCTGTGCGACAGGCAGTCAATTGCACACATTACCTTAGCTTCATGCCAAAAACAAAATGCAAGCAGCAAGCGCCTGGATGACTTATCAAAGGCAGCTGCGCCAATTCGTTGACCTGCTACCAAGACTTGGCAAAAAGCGCTTCGAAAGCGTTGCCTTCTTCTTTGCACAAAAGAAATGATGAGAAAAAAATAGAAAAAAATGTAAGAAATGTACAAGCAAAGCATAGCAAAGCCATTGCTCTCTGATTACTCTGGGCGGCTGAAAGAGCAGGCTGCAGCACCCATTGGGCGAGGTCTTTGACTTCCCCACGATCAACACCTAAGCGTTCTTGTGAAGTCGGGAAAGAATTGTCTGTAAAAACACATGTATGTCAAAACATTCACATTTCAGAGAAACGTATTGTAGCGAGCAAGTAGAGGACAAAAAAACTACAAATATACTGTACAAGCGGACGCCCTTACTTACCCCATCCACCTAGTAGTTACCCCATCCGCAAGGCACACCGAGTTACCCCAGGGCAGACAATAGTTACCCCAGGTTTCAAATCCCCAAGGCACAGCGGCTCAGATGCATCATGTTTTGAAGTCGTTGCAAACTTTGAAGCATGTCCCTAGCTTGCATTTAGTTATGCCCGGAATCAGAAAATGGGAAGGTGCGACCTGTCAACCCGGAGTCAAATCCCAATGGCACACCGCCAAAAAGCCATTCCAGGCCAAAAGCTTAGCCAAGCATTGAAACAGCATTCTGGTTTCTCCAAAGAAACAAAATAAAGGGTGTCCATTCTCATAAAAGCTAAAATCCCAATGGCACACTTGCAGGAGAGTGGAAGACTTTCACGAAGTCGTTGCAAACTTTGAATCATGTCCCTAGTTGCATTTAGCTATGCTAGGAATCAGAATATGGGAAGGTGCGACCTGTCAACTTGGAGTCAAATCTCAATGGCACACCGCCAAAAGCAATTCCAGGTCAAAAGCTTAGCCAAGCATTGAAACAACATCGCCAGCTTGCGTTCTGGTATCTCCAAAAGAAACAAAATAAAGGGTGTCCATTCTCAAAAAAGCTAAAATCCCAATGGCACACTTGCAGGAGAGTGGAAGACTTTCACGAAGTCGTTGCAAACTTTGAATCATGTCCCTAGTTGCATTTAGCTATGCTAGGAATCAGAATATGAGAAGGTGCGAAAAGGGTTTCCATTCTCATGAGAGCCAAAACCCCAATGGCACACTTGCAGCAGAGTGGATGACTTTCACAAACGAAGTTTGAAATTAATCACATTGAAATCACACCTTGCCCTGCTGTAACGGAATCCGAGACATATGGAAAATGGATGTAATACATTGTAATACCAGAATCATGACTCTGGAAAGGTTTTTGGACGAGGTACCGGACGAGATACCGGACGAGGTACCGGAATTACATTTTGCCATCCAAGCCAGAACCGACCCCACGTATCCCCACGTCAGATCAAAAACAGTAAATGGTGAAAACGATGTGGATAGGTCCGAAAGATCCAAGCAATAAGGTCCGGAAGATGAGGTGGAGGAGGATGATGTTGCGGAAGATGAGGTGGAGGA